GAGTGGCTGGGCGAGGAAGGTGCGAAGTAATTACAATTGGACACAAATCGGCTCACCCCAGCTGAATTTAACTCCTGTGGTAATTACGATGTGTTTATGAGTACGACTATTATATAGATTACGACCCCTACCCAGCAAGATTAGTAACTCGGTAGAAGGTCAACGTTACTTTACGTTTTGATATCATTTAGGTCAAAGCTCATAAGACCGCCAATAGTTTGGGATTCTCAACTAATAATGTACCCGTGGAGGAAAGAAAGTCCAGTAATAACGACATCTGATAATGGTGGGCATGTGATGCACGCATTAGCGTGCGTAGCCCAACTGGTAAGAGAGAAGAGAGATTTAAGCTTCCAGAAAAATGCCGGAGAATTAGGATCACGGTGAAGTTTTTGGCAGGTACATCCCGCATAGTGAGTTGTGTCCTTGCATAGAAACCCCATGGAAAATTGCAGAACGGAAATGTGGACGATTATATCATTTTCTGCAGATTCCTTTCTCATGACCTGGTAGTTCATCGATGGCGAAAAAATGAGTGAATCCGCAGAAATTCCAGAATCTGAAGGTTTATTCGAACTAATCTTTTCCAAGGGTGAGCGAGATTTCATCGTCACGCGAGGAGAGTGTGTGGACGAGTTCCCAGTCGCTGCCAATCAACGTGTCTTAGCTAATAGCCCATATCAGCTGACTATATTTACAACAAAAAACGCTTTATTTTGGATAATGTCAGCTTCTACAAAGCTGCTAAACTCGTATTTTCTTGGAATCATCGAGTGGCAGTGGGTATACCGTTCGGTTTTCGAACTTGTGGAGCATTTTCATCTTAAGCTGTGTTTTTGAATACTTTTACTGCTGTAAAATCATCCAGTGACCGGGTAGCGACTTCACAGACTTCGCCTTCTTCGGCTTAAAGCCTTCAGCAAGTTTCCAGGCAGGCAAATTTGGGAGGATGATTTCCTTTTCGATTTGTATTCTACACAATGCTGCTGCTTAGTTGCGATTCCGTATTTCTTCAGTTCTGTTTACCTGATCGCTCAGCAATGACGAATGGCGACGATCAGGAGCGATTTCTGGCTTCAAACCCTGTTCCCTGTTTTCTAATCCTCACTTTCTCCCCTGGAATAGTAACTATGTGTACACAGAGCTGAATCACTCCTCGGCATCACTATCACATCCTCTCAATCACAGTATCGCGCACAGCAGGGTCTGGAATTAGGTTCCCAGTTGGTTTCATGACCACTTACTATTGATCATTCTCAGTATCAAATCACATCTTAGACGACCAAGTCCTTCACTCAGATTGTTCCCAAAGGTCGCCTACCCTTTTTAGGGACTAGCTAGTCCACAAACTTGTTAGGCTAACAATACCGCTATTTATATGCCACTGTAAACTCCAAGCGATTTTTACAATGTGGGCAATCCTAGAAGAGTAATCTATTACCTTACCCTGGCATTCATTTTTTGAGATCGGTTTATTTTACCCACAATTATTGCAATGTGAAGCAGTTCTTTGCCTTTTTGTACCGTTCCCTCAATGCTTTGAAAAATCGTGCAGGTTCAAAAATTTTTGCAGGTGCAAGAGCTTTAAATAATGCAGACCAACCAAATATTTTTCTGAGAGAAAGGATGAAAAATCAAGCTGTTGAGGTCGATCAACTTAGTGCTTAGTAAGTGTATGGCTGCTTCCATAGTCCGCCGGCCGGCCAGCGTGCGCGAGGCAGTACTAGGGGGGAGGAGGGCGGCGGACGGTCAGTCGAGGGGTTGAAAACAAAGAAGAACAAGATCAAAAACCAAACAACCAGGGGCTCGCACAAATGGTTTTTGATCTTGTCTCTCCTTGTTTACACCCCTTCGAGGGGCTGACCGAACCGTCCGCCGCCGTCCTCCCCCCTAGCACTACCTCGCGCACGCCGGCCGGCCGGCCGGCGGACCATGAAAGCAGCCTATGAGCTTTCGATCTCCACCCAGAAGCGTAGTGGCGTACTGTATATGTAGTGCCTATTTGTGCTTTCTCGAAATCGTCAATGAACTCATTCCTGTTTGCATATATAAATCAATAAAGTCAACTCTACCCTTTATTTGGCTATTTTCAACGATTACAACATGACTTTAACATTAAAGGTATGGATACAGTCGATTTACCCAACCGTTTTTACTGTGAATAGTGCTGCCGAATAGTCGACCGATCACAGAGACGCATGTAGGCTGTCTCTGTGATTGGTCCATTATCTGGTAGCACTAATCATAGCAGAAAAACATGGCTAAAGTCGTTCAGCTATCCTTTGATGGGAAAGTTAACAGAACTCCGCTGCCTGGGCAACTTTTCCAACTCTGGAGAAATAATGAGTAATACTAGTATTATATCTCATATGGGCACCCAAATAGTAATTGAAATATGGTTTTAGCGATTCTCCACGATCAGGATTAAGTTTGATTGCAATATCGCAAAGCTTTTGAAGAATATCGTATAATGCCAAAGCTGCAAAATCCACCTCTTTTTCTATAAATCGTAGACTAACATCTCTGTAAAAAGCAAAACTCGCGTTTTTTAGAGCTAGAAAAATGTTTTTGATGTCCTCAAATGTCAATGATTTACAACTAGTTTTTGTCATACGAACTAATTGTACCAAAATGACCCAAGAACTATTTTTCTTAAGTCTGTCAGGTAGAGAATTATTGACTGCAGTTAGTATAGTTTCAATGGTTTTCAGTGATTTTCTCAATTTAACGTCTGAATCGTTTCGTGGAGTAGCCGAGCACGCCGAATCGTTTATCCCAGCTCTTACATTAGTGTAAACTGGCATTTGGAAGGCTGTTCCATATCCAAGATGTTCTGAAAAACTGCATTTCCTCTGTTATCGTGTGAAAACATAGTAATGTTCCCAAAAATTGCGACCAATGATAACAGTATCGACAAATTTTAGACAGAGAAGCTGCGCATCACTAGGGCAGAACATGTCGCTCATCGCGCGAATTTTTCGCGCGATGAGCGACATGTTCGCGCGGCAGGCTGTTTATGATTAAGACAAGCCCCCAGCTTCATATTCAAGATTTAGTGTTCATCGCGCGCGAAAAAGAACTGTGTCCTGAACTGTCATTTTAGACCTAATGTAGGTATTACCGACAACTGTCACCTACCATTGGAACTTAGAAAATCAACTAGAATATCGCGACGTTCCGCTGGAACACTGTATAAAGCCTTTCCCAATCTGAAATTGAGGGTACTTGGAAGATCACTTTTTTTTGTACTTCTACATAAAAGGAATAAATAAGAAATAAGTAGATAAGTCAATATAATTCCACACACATTGAAGCTGGGTCATCGCTGCCAATGATGTCTTTCTTCTTTTTGAAGGTTTCTATAATCTGCAATGCATAAGGGATTACTTCTGTATCACCTAAGAATGGTAAATAAATACCACCAACCTCACCGAAAAATAAATATTTAGCCTTTAAATCTGATTCCCTGGCAATGATATTTTTGTGAAGCTCCTCCATAACTCCGTATAGCACAGGGTTGATCTTGCTCAGCTCTGCCAGTTCTTCATGAAAGTTTGTCTGAAGGTCAGTATGAACTATTGGACCATTTCGCTCACATTGTATGCAGTAAATACAAACAAGTACATAAATAGGTTGAAACAGATGTACTTTTCATCTGCCATTGTTGTTTTGGAAAACAAACAACCCCTGTTCGAACCTCAATGTTTATACCGTTCAAATAGGGACCCAGCGGTTCTTTGATAGCATCAGGCCGTACTGCTCCATTGTTGAATGGATAGCTATTTGAATCTTCGCTTTCAGCTGAAAAATTATACTAGTAATATTGCTAACTAATTGTATGTAAGTGTAATAGGCATAAAATCGANTGAAACAGATGTACTTTCATCTGCCATTGTTGTTTTGGAAAACAAACAACCCCTGTTCGAACCTCAATGTTTATACCGTTCAAATAGGGACCCAGCGGTTCTTTGATAGCATCAGGCGGTACTGCTAGATTGTTGAATGGATGGCTATTTGAATCTTCGTTTTCAGCTGAAAAATTATACTAGTAATATTGGTAACTAATTGTATGTAAGTGTAATAGGCATAAAATCGATCGGTTTTATCACATATTTGGAAGAAAAATTACCTAATACTCCTGCAACTACTCCTAACAGCAACAGGCTCAAAGGAGATGCCATTTTGAGAAAACAACCCTCACAGGGTGCGTTCCTTAACAATGCTGGCTTGTGGTACAGGAACCAGAAACTTATGGAAAATGTTATAGTCATAAATTATGATATCGTATGGTAATAGTAGTAATGTTGGTAGGCTTTTTAATTCCAGAATATGCGGAGTTGCAAAAAAAAAACAGAGCAACAGTGGTGCAGAGGCAAGATATGCTGCATCCCGTCCAGGCAGTCCGATGGATCTACTCGTCTACTGGTTAATGGATTGGACCAGGACGCTCTACTATTCAGTACACTAAGAGGACAATGAAAGTGTGAAAATATGAAGTATTGGAATATTTTTCTCTGTGAATGACGAAGAGCAGCTGAACGACTCCTCACATCGCCAACTTCGTCGAATCCTGAGTCTACCATGGATGGCGATCGCGAAAAACAGAAGCGAATGGTTTTTTGTTGGTGCTCGCCCATGAATGAAGACGAGCCGTATAAGTATAATAAGTCTTCTCTGTGAATAGATGAATGTGTTGCAGATATTCGAAAGATTAGGAGAATGAAAGATTATAACGGCCAGTTAAAACAGCAATGACATAAGTAAGTGAAAGCCGATATATGTATTCCTCACTTATCAGTAGCATAGATATCACTTGGAGATAAGGCATCAATCTAAGGCAATCCGATTATCTGGAAAAGCAGTTGGGCTATGCACGCTAACGCGCACATCATATTAATCACTCAATTGATTGATCTGGATACGCAGTGCCGCGATTATGTAGTATGTGTTTAAGAATATAGCATTAGTAGAGGCTCCTAGATTATTAGCGTTGGATAAGTTTTGTAGCGAATAATGTCAAAACAAAGAGGAACTGTGTCCTCTCATTGAGTCACAAACCTTGCTGGGTAGCGGTGCCAACATATCAGCTTTAAGTGAACGAACTATGTATCATCTCTTCGTAATAAAACAGCTTTAATCGGTCCTTATCACTGCCCTTCCACTGACTTTTTGTCACCCTACTTTACCGAAGCGTACAGCTTTAATCGGTCCTTATCACTGCCCTTCCACTGACTTTTTGTCACCCTACTTTACCAAAGCGTCTTAGCGAATGAAACATACCAAAGAGTCTTAGCGAATGAAACATACCAAAGAGTCAAAACTTTACCAAAGCGTCTTAGCGAATGAAACATACCAAAGAGTCAAAACTACATATTGGGTTGTCCGAAAAGTTCCCGCCGATTTTTGATTAATTTTTGAATGAAAATTCCTAGAAGAAGAAATCCGTTGACTGAACAATATATCCTCCATCCTATTGAATAAAGATTCGCCATCTTCCTGTAGGTTCCAGTTGCCTTCTGCCATAGAAGGTTCCAGACTTGAAATCGAAAAACCCTCGCAGTCCTCCAGCGAACTGAACGATTTTCCATTCAAAGAATTTCGCGGAAACCCAAACAAGTGGTATTTGAATGGTGCTATGTCTGGACCATAGGGGGTGTGGTGAGACATCCCGCCCAAGCTTTAGCCCTTTCCGAAGTCATCGTTTGATTATGCGACAACAGCTCATGGTAAGTGATTTCCATGGAATCCCATCAGCAACTCGGCATAGTCTT